GGTACCTGGCGATTGGAAGAAGGGTTACCTTGTCAAACTGCCGAAGAAGGGAGACCTCAGTGTTTGCAAGAACTGGTGCGGAATCACTCTCCTGTCCACCCAGAGCAAGCAAAATATTAGGCCGCGTCATCCTGGAGAGGCTTAAGGATGCACCGGATTCAAAACTACGACCAGAACAGGCAGGCTTCAGGAAGTACAAATCATGTGCAGACCAAATTGCAACGCTACACTACGCATCATCATAGAACAGAGTATAGAGTGGCAGTCAGCTCTCTACCTCAACTTTATCGACTTTGAGGAGACCTTTGACAGCGTCGACCGAGAAGTAATTTGGAAACTGCTTCATTACTACGGAGTACCGCAAACCTTTATCAGCCTCATTCAACAACTATATGAAGGTGCCACATGCCAAGTAATTCACAATAGGAAGCTCAGTGATGCCTTTGAGGTGAGGACAGGAGTGAAACAAGGTTGCCTACTATCCCCCATGATATTTCTGATTGTGGTGGACTGGATCATGCAGCAAACTGTGAAGAGCTGTGAGAAGAGGGGGATACACTGGACTGCGGAAAAGAACATAGAAGACTTGGATTTCGCCGATGACTTGTGCCTGATGTCACATAAACTTGAAGATCTACAGGCGAAAACTAACAAGTTGGCAGAAGAGGTGAGGCAGCGAAGACGGGACTTCAAGTGAATATAGAGAAGACAGAGGTGATGAAGATACCGCACCACCACCACCAACAACAACAACAAACTCCAGTCACCATCAACGGGAGAAACTTGAAGGAAGTAGCCTCCTTCACCTATCTAAGCAGCACTGTTTCAACTGCAGGTGGCACAGACGAGGATGTCAAAGTCAGAATCGGAAAAGCAAGACAGGCGTTCATTAGCCTGAAACCAGTGTGGAGATCTTCTGCACTCAGCATACAGCGTGAACAACATCCGGATTTTCAACACCAACGTCAAGTCAGTGCTTGTGTATGGCTCAGAGACTTGGCGCGTCACGAAAGGGATTTCTAGTAAACTACAAACATTCATCAACAACTGCTTACGCTCGCTACTGAAAATCAGATGTCCAGAATAGTCAGAATAAGCAACAAGGAGCTCTGTGAACGAACCAACCAAGAACCTATCACGCAACAAATATGCAGGAGGAAGTGGAGATGGATTAAGCATGCACTGAGAAGGCCGACTGGGGACATCACGCGTCAGGCCAGTTACTCGAGTGGAATCCCCATGGGAAGCGACGAGTTGGACGTCCGTGGTGAGGGTGACATGGAGGAAATCGTGCGAGGAGGAAATGAGAGGTTGTGGGCTGTTGTGGAACCAGGTTCAAAAGATCTCAGAGAACAGAGTTGACTGGAGATGTGCTACTGAAGCCCTATGTTCCACTAGGAACCTAAGGGACTAATAATAATAATATAATACTGCACAGCGATTCACTCTGTTCTTCTAGATGGCTGTGAAACACGGTCATCAAAAGTGAAGTACAGAGGAATGCTTCACAATTTTGATCGCCACTATCTTCTTGCCATAGGCCATGTATCCTTCATCAAACATGTTAGCAAAGTAGAAGTCAGGAGTAAACCTTATGGTGAACAGTATAAGCTAGTTAAGGAGGTTATGAACCTTCATCAGCTCAGATGACCGGGGCACGTGTTATGCAGCCTATTCATCATCTGCCCCATTTTGCAGTGTTAGCTTAGGTAAGTTTATCATTGAAAAAAGGTTGGAGACGGCCAGATTAAAACAGGGCATCAGTCTAGGAAGTCTGTGACTTTTAGTTTGAGCTTTATTAGGAAATGTAAGCTACCCAGGTGGAACGGTGTGGCAACTGAAGTTGCTATTTGTAAACTCTAGGTGATGTGGCTCAGAATTGATCTAAGAGGCGTAGTTGCATCCACACATTACTTTCATCGTTTTACAGATTTTTGCTTCGCTCTTATCCATTCAGCTTCTTTGTTTCCTACTTTCTAGTACTTTTGATAACGTTTTCTATTTTCTATCTTTATTCTTAGTGCATATTACCTTGATGTACTGATATAAGGTGTACCAACCTGAAGTGTTACTCAGTATTTTCAGGTTTCATGTTGATGTTGACTAACCGTGAATTATTGAAACTTCACTTTCACCTTTTCTGTACCTTAACTTGCAAATTTTCTGCAAATTCACATCATTCCCTATGTAGTACTGAGTCTTCAAATTAGAATTTTTAATTTTTCTACCACGTCTTTCAACAAAAAGGCTCACCTTCACCATTGTCATGAGGATTGGCCCATTCATTTGCAGTATGCCACAATGGTGTATGTCGTTTTACTCAGTTTCGCCTGTTGTTTACCAGACTAGTTTAACTCTCAATTGTCACTCTATCATCATGGTTTGTTTGTGCTTCACTTGAAGAGAGAACTGATAGGTGATCCTGGCTTAAACAGTGAACAAAGATGTGTTCAGGAAAAGGTCTGGGTAAGTTACCAAATTACTTCACTTCACATGATTGCATCATAGTTAACTAAGAAAGAGGGAAAATGAAGTAGAGTAACTTCACTGGTAATATGAGCCTCAGGATAAGATATCGATCGAATTTTGATTAAAAGTAATACATTAAAGGTGTGAAAGAGTGACAAGGTTGAAATTACTGATCGATTTTGTTTGTCATCACTACTCTCCCAAAAGTAGAACTGAGCAGTGCTCATAAAGATTGAAATGTGGGCTTATCATAGGTTATATGAAATAACAGATGCACTCATTGAGAAGTGATGAGATTTTAAATAAGCTAAACACATATCTTATGTAAAAGTAGTTTCGTCATGGACTGACATCAGTTGGAAAATCATTGAAAATCTGGGAGCACTGGACAGCTGTACGGGACTCCTCAGCAGTACGCACCCACGACCCGGCTAGGAACCGAACTGAAGACCTTCAGGCTTCACGGCGAACGTCTTAACCATTCAGCCACTGGGTTGGTTTCCAGTGGTTCACAATTTCCAACATATCATATGTATTTTTGAGATGAATGGGGATTTTTAATTTAGAAGTAGTATTCGTCATGGACTGACATCAGTTGGGTAACCATTGAAAATGTGGGAGCATATGTATAATAATGTACATTCAACCAGTAATAAAAGTGAAAGTCATCGAACTGCAGATAATTTTTGACAGTAAACTTATTAAATCTTTGTGTTCAACATGACACTATATGCAACAGGCTTTTGAAGTTCAGACGAACAAATGATGCCGATACAAGCTAATTGATAATGCGTATTCCGACTGGTTATCTTTATTTTTGTACATACACTTGATTTTTCACCTATACTTTCTAGTCGAAAGTGATACAGACTCTGCGATATCTACTTCAACAATTCAGCCATTTGGATCGCATATGATACTACTAATCGCCATCGTTGTAGTGTTTAGATCCTTATGTTTATGTGAAGTTGATTATTTTCTCTAGGTTTAAGGTGTTATCATGAATTACCTTTTGGTTATCATTGGTTCTATGATCAGTTCGGTATTCTAGTCTTTTTTATTATATTCAGTTTCAATTTGGGCTAGTATGGATATAGTCCATTGGTGTTATAAAACCCACCGTAAGTGAATGCATGTGCCAATCTAGCTTCACTTATCAACGTAACTTAACTCGACAGTCCTCTGATGGTTACAATGAGGCTGGATTCGAAACTAGTGAACGATAAAGTGTTGTACGGAAATGCTTCTGGCTTGTAAAGTCAGGATTTATGCTCATACTGTTCATGTATTTGTTGAAGCAGACTGGGCTTACCTGAAAGTTTGGATAACTGATATTTTTGTCAACCATTCAGTCAGTACCTTCATGGAAGCCAACGATTTTGTTTAAATCTCGAAGTTGACACAATTCTCGGCGGGACATCAAGATAAAACGGACAAAGATAAAGACAGATAACCAGAAAAATAATGTAACTAAGAGCTGTAGAAGGTGATAAAAGAGTAATATGAAGCCATTTAAATAAATTCAGTGTGCCAGTTAATAAGTTGTTTTTCCACCAGAAGAATAAAATTTTAAAGTAGACAGCTGTTTTCGAATATATGTCATGTTCATTACCAACTTTAAAAACTTGTTTTATATACTTCAGTAAGTAGGGTATTAATGAAGAAGATATTTTGGATGCATGATTTATTCACAGCTTTTTATTATAAAACTGATCGACTAAAATCCTTGTTCCGAATCTGTACAGTAACTGAATGTAGATTTTGCTTCTGAGGGGATTCTTAAGAGGACCTCAGAAAAGCTAATCAGGGTAAAGATTGTGAAAAGCTAAGATGAGAGTTGATAAATTCTGTACTGGTGTTACTTTTTAGTATGCGAGTTTAGTGTATGGTTTAGGTTTGAAATCTAGGATTAGTGGTCAACACTGAATCTCAGTATTATGTTTTAGGTATTAAAGTGCACCAGTTAGGAGCGATGTGCTTCTTTTACAGTTTACATAATTATAATTCGGATCGTTCATAAAATTCTTAACTTCTCAATGAGAGTTGAGGATATTTATGTATTCTTTCATTACTTCCTCAAATAAAGACAGTTATTCATTTGTTGTTTCGATGTATGCCGAATATTTAGGACTAATTTCGAGTCAAAAGATATTTTGTAAGTATACCTTTAAACTCTAATTTTTATGATACATGTTCTGGTTGGTTACCTAAAACATTTTCCTTTGTACACACTTCCGCTGAATTGTACTTTGGGTGTCAGGCATTGTGAAATGCTTAAAATTTGACTGATTGTTCAGTATGTATATGCAACAGCTATAATGCTTTGATCGATGAACGGTTCACTACCAGTTTGAATGCTAATCTTCTCGTCATTTTGATGAAATTTTGTTGTATTATCTAGGTCGATATGAAATATATGTTTGTTGAACAGGGTAGTGACGGAGAGTTTTAAGGTTTCGCTAGGATATTTTAGTGTACACCCTTACCACCTATTTATTTCTTATGCCTTTTTTTCCTTTTAATCTCTATAGTCATCAAGTGAACACAATCCTCCTGGTCTACGTCGGTCGATAACATTTTCTGCTGGACGGTTGTCAAGAAAATACCAAGTAAGATGTTGACACAAGTAGACGATAATGATCTGAATAATTATTTGGTTACATGATCTGCTTATCATATCATATCTATTAGATCAGTTAGTAATATGTTCAAATTCTCACTAGTTTACTGAAAAAAGAATTAAAACATGAGATCGGGTCAAAGGTAATTAATTCTTACAACTGTAAACACTTTATGAGGCATTCATTGTTTCAGTGTGTGTATTTTACAACCAATGAAAAACAGGACAAAGCTGTTTTTCTTTGTTTTCTTGTTAACTGGGAAGCACAAATATCTATTCAGTGAATAGCATTTAAATATCGAAACAATCCCGCGATAACCATATCTTGTGCAATGGGCATTAGTTGTTATGATATTTGTAATTTCCCAAGTATTTTGTCCGTATGTAGCAACGGGAAATTACAAGTATCATAACAACAACTGGTACCCACTTTGGCTTAGTGGATAACACTTCGGCGTTTGAAGTAATGGGTACTGGGTTTGAGTCATAGTGGGAAGAAAATCAATCACTAATGTACGAGAACATCTAACTAACGAGTGCCAGGTGGGACGAAACTCGCGTCCTGAATTCTTTTGCTAGTCATCAAGATCAATATAACATCACGAATATCCGGGAGTATCGAGGCATCCACTCAGGAGCCCATCTGTCAACAAAGGTTGAGAAATTTGGCTGTGTATATAGCAAACCGAAATTAAGTCTCTTAGGTTGGCTACATTTGTAAACAGAATCATATTCACTCATATTTTAGGCATATATAAGGAGAAATATTTCTCGAAAGCTGAATTCTATCAGAAAAGTAATTATTCCTTTTTTTAAACAGGATTTTGCAATGAAAAGATTATGTCAGGGATCATTACACATTCCGTGGATCGATCAAAGTGTAGGTAGTAGTGGTATTGTTTTGTCTTTCTCACTGTATAACTAATTAAACGACAGTTTAATGAACAATAACTTCTTCCTCAGGCATATATAATTAACGTATTAGGCACTCTAATATATGATTTAAAAAACTAGCCATAAACCTTAAGTGTCTTTGTTATTATTTTGCATGAATTACTGCTGTTTTTACTGCATAAATGCTGGTTTTAAGGATTTTTAAAAAAAGATTTTATTCTATTATATTTTCAATAAAAATCAACTTATAACTTACTGTCAATTTGCTGTATGAGCAATGGTCTTACGTAAAGTGAATACATATCTAAAATTGATTAGTATTTGCAAATCGTTTGTCCAATAGTGGTCAGGGTAGTGTTTAATTTTTTTTTCTGTTGAAAAGTTCTAACAATTCAACGTCTAATTTAATTTCTACAATTAGTTATTGGCTTCTATTTGGCTTGGTGCTCATTTATTATTCGGTACTTGACTTTCCTAGAAAGATTATGTGGTAAGTGAATATATATTTTGCCATCTGATATCACCGAGTCCAACCATACTAAATCGAATGCTAAATAAATTAACCTACTTGTTTTTGAAGAAATCTCTTTCAAGAATTTTATTCATAATTATTTGCCATTGTACTTCTTGGGGTACCTGTTTCTCTGAAATATTCTAAACATTATTCATCTGAAGGTGATCACAAATTAAATTTTCTTGGTCGTTCTAATTGTTGATATGATGATGGTGCGACTTAACAACCACGAATGGGTTTGTTCACTAGGATGTGTTATGTTCTGCTTTATTTCATCTTTTCCATTGTATGACTATAATTATTTCCTCAAAATTATTTGCGTCCGGCGAAGCTGAAGTCGTAACAGGATTTTGGTCACAGATCTCTTCGTAGCATTGCTTGCATTTGGCAGGAATACCGTGTGACCAATATTGAGATCAGGTGAAGGATACTAGGCAAGGCAGACAAGTCTACTGATGAAGTTGTGAACCTTCATCGGCTGAGATGGCTTGGATATGCATTGCACATGCCGAGCCACCACTTACCTCGACGTGCAATAGTGAGAGAAGTTGAATAGGGTTAAAAGAGGGTTCAAGGTGGCCAGACAAAGACGTGGCATCAGTCGATGAAGTCTCTGACTGTTGGTCCGAGCCATGTAGAGAGATGTAGACTGCCTGGTTGGGGTCCCTTAGACGAAAGAAATTATTGGTTGAGAATTCTTGGTGACATGGCTGAAATTTGGTCTTAATGGCGCAGATGTATTCACCCTTCGATGTCTTCTAAAGCTTAAACTGAAGCATCTGTGAGTGAGGCTCTATGTTGATTTCTTCAGTAGGTCAAGTGTAGCTATAAGTTTGTATTTCAGAGGCCAATTATATGGTGATGGAAGTGACTAACCTGTGCACGTCTATTGAGTCAAATAACTGTAGTTTGCCCTATATCATAATGGTTGTTGTCTAATCGCACCAGTCACATAAAGAACTGTGAACTTGTGCACTTTATTCCTCAAGTTGATTGAGATCGATAGTTAGGTAACGTTAGATGCTTAGATCTATTCACTTACTATCTTACTCCAAAGGTGGTACGTTTCAGTAATCTGGTGCATTTTCATGTCATATGGCTATTGCCTACTTTATTCACTTAATTTTCTTTTTATTCTATTTAAAATTACACTAAATAGAACCGGTACTCTATTATACTACGTTTCATATTAATTTAACTAGTTGACTAAGTAGTCATATCATTTTGGTGTAGTAAAGCAAAAATTTCAGTTGTTTTGTTTGTAGCCTTTTGTTGGACATATTTATCTTGATAACAGATAATACTTTATAAATGAAGACAATATTAGTGGTATTTTTTCATTATTAATTGCTAACAAAGGAGTTTAATTTTCAACTAATTCGCTTGAATATACATATATAAACTACTGAGGTTAGTTATTGGTTATGCATTTTAAGTTGATAGCATTCACTTTTGGCTATTGGTAAACCATACGAATTTACAAATTGCCTAACAATTGACTAATCGACTACGTAAACTCTAACACTAATAAATTGAATATGAAGTCACTTGTATTCTCATAATCATTTTCAAATTTTTATATTTATTTATTTAGTCCATTTTTAATGGTTTTTAAGGGTCATCAACTGGTTTAACAATCACTGCATCTGAGATTGCCATAGTTTAGCAGACTTGTACTGATATTGGGTGATGATTTAAGATGAAATGAAAATTGTAGCGAAAAAGGATTTTAGCCGGCTACTACCGGATTTTCAGCCTGATGCTCTACCAACTGAACTATGAAACTCGATTGGTGATGAGATTTTTATTTCATCGGTTCGAATCCTGCCAAATCTTCATTTCACCTTCACTCATCATCCAACATATACAGATAGTTGTCAATGTGTAAATGACGCATGTTTATGACTACTAAATACAAGTCCCAAAATATTTCTCAAAGATTTTTTTTGAATTCACAGATCACACTTGACCCACTGATGGATGAACTCAGCACTGGCAGAAATTCAGAATTTCGCTGACTAGTAAAATTAGTCAGTATTTTTTGTGTTGTCGATCTGAACGATACTATTTCAAATGTTTCAAATTGAGCTTTCTCTGAGTTATATCCTTGAATATTAATCGAAAGTGGATTCTTGGTTTGAGTAGTAAATGAATTCGAGTAGTGTATACTATCGACGAACTTGCTGATGTCATTAGCTGTCTCAATACAGAAATAATTTTCAATCTCTAGAAAAACAGACGAGAGAGGAAAGATGGTTATGTATGACTCACTAAATAAGTCTAAAATGTTGTGCGCTTTCACTGTCTACAGTATAGAACAAAGCCATTATTTAAATGAATATTTACTTTATAAAAAGTTGAAAATGTCTCTCATCACAACAGAATACCTGTCAAAAACAACAAATGCCAGGAAGTTACTTTGAATAGTAATTAGTTGCTGTAAATACATTTTCAATTCCACAGAGTAATCCAGTTTGACTAGACGAACATCAAAATCTGAAGTGTTACATGATACGAATTAGTAAGCACACAGTGAAAAATTTAAAGCATATTCTACCCATTTGTTCCAAATTATATAACTTTCGTCCCATCAGTGAAACCCTTGATACTCGCGAAAATTTGCTGATGATGACATGCATCATGATAGAAGTTATTATTGTAATATTATTTGTTCCTTGGGTTGCTAGTGGAACATAGGGCTTCAGTAGCACGTCTCCATTCCACTCTGTTCTCTGCAACCTTTCGAACCTGGTCCCACGACAGTCCAGAAGCTCTCATTTCTTCCTCTCACCATCTCCTCCATGTCACCCTCGCCTATGACACCCAACTCGTTGTTTCCCATCTGAATTCCACTCGAGTGCCTGATCAGGTGTGTGATGTCCCGAATGGTCTTCTCAGTGCATGCCCAATCCATCTCCACTTCCTTCTGCATATATTGGTTGAGCGATAGCTTCTTGGTTAGTTCGTTGGCAGGCTAGAGTTCCTTGTTGCTTATTCTTTCTGGCCATCTGAGCTTCAGTGTCAGTATCGAGCATAGGCAGTTGTTGATGAATATCTGTAGTTTGTTGGAAATGCTGTTGGTAGCACGCCAAGTTTCTGAACCATACAGGAGCACTGACTTGACTGGTATTGGTGTTGAAAATCCAGGTCTTGTTCCACATGCTGAGTGCAGTGCAGAAGATCTCCACACTGGTTTCAGGTTAATGAACGCGTGCCATGCTGTCTTTCCAGTCCTGCCTTTGACGTCCTCGTCTGTGCCGCCACCTGTAGTTGCCACAGTGCTGCTTAGATAGGTGAAGGAGGCTACTTCGTTGGAGTTTCTCCCATTGATGGTGATTGGAGATTGTTGTTGTTCTTGTTGTTGGTGGCGTTGGTTGGGTATCTTCATCACCTCCGTTTTCTCTATGTTCATTTGAAGGAAGTGCTGTCTTCGCTACCCTGCCTCTTCTGTCAACTTGTTAGTTTTCGCCTATAGATCATCGAGTTCGTGCCACAAGACATAAGACACAAGTCATCGTTGGCGAAATCCAAGTCTTCTAGGTTCTTTTCCGCAGTCCAGCATATTCCCATCTTCTCACAGCTCTTCACAGCTCTTTGCTGCATGATTCAGTCGACCACAATCAGGAGTGTCATGAGTGATAGTAGATAGCCTTGTCTTACTCCTTCCTGTCTTCACCTCAAAGGCATCACTGAGCTTCCTATTGTGAATTACTTGGTATGTGGTGTCTTCACATAGTTGTTCAATGAGATCGATAGGGGTTTGTGTCAGTAAAACCGAAGTGTTGAAGTGGCTGCCTGCCAAATTACTTGCCAGTCGACTCTGTCGAAGGTTATTTCAAAGTCGATGGAGTTGAGGTAAAGATGCGGTTGACTGCCATTCTATGCTCTGTTTTATGATGAGGCGTAGAGTGGCGTTGCAATTTGGTCCGCATATGACTTGTACTTCCTGAATCCAGCCTGTTTGGGTCATAGTTTGATGGATATCATGCAAGAATAATTATGACTGTTGAAATTTAACTTGGAACTAACCGAGCGTGAGTTTCTAACATCAATGATCCCTGTCTTAATCGTTCACTCGTATCAAATTTGAAATGGGCTTCAGATCAGGGAACTACTAACATTCCATTTTCATTTATGTAGAAACATTGAATCGTCACTCTTGCAATGCATGCACATACATACACGTTGATTGCCAATTAATTAAACTACTAAAAGTCATAGAAACTAGTATCATCAAAAGAAAATCTACTTGCATATACTTCTGTTTGCTGATAGCTGATATATTAACTGACATATTCACTTGCATATAAGGATTATAACCACCACTTGTCTTTATATATTTCATGAAAATATTGTGATTATTTTGTTTCCTTACAGTCGTTTTATTCATAAAAGTTTTAATGGTGGTAAATGCTTAAAGTACGGTTTAATCAATTTCTAAAAGTCTGATTGAATTTCGAGTTTCAGGTTACCTACGCAGTGTTTTTGACATCATCATAACTATTATCTTCAGTGTTGCATCATGAGGACGTTGGATTGGAGAAGTAGACTTTATATACGATAAAGTTGAAGTTCAAAAGGAGTTCAAGTTGTAGTCGAATTCCAACCAATTGGCTTCAGCTAGCTTGTCTGATACTCTACCGTTTAAGTTATTATACTCAAAAGCTTATCCATTCTCGGATTTACTTAATTTACAGGGTACTTTTAACGACTGCTATGTAAATTTGAGATAAGTAGCCATTCATTTCACATTACACTATTTATCAAGTCAAGTGTTCTTCTCTGATTCTATTTTTATCTGAATACAAAAGAAGAAAAAGCAGAATAATTAATGATTAGGTTGTCTGATATAGCCCATACTGTGGACTAAAGCTTTAAAGAAGTTGACTTAATATCTGACTGACTGTTTGATCAGTGAAAAAATTCATTCATGAGTAAACTTTATGATGACAGTGACGACAAACGATCTGCGCTAATTGATATTCATAAATAATTAAATCTAATTTTCGGTAATCAGTTCATTCGATCTAATTTAAGTACGTGGTACCATTCTCACTTCAATATTATGCTTGATTAATAGAATTAGTGCACTGAAATCTTTAAGATTACGAAGACATGACGTCCCTCATAATTAATACTTTCCCTTGTTGTGCTTCGCATGGAGATATGTATAGAGTGTCAGTGGATAACAAGGATAGGGATAATGATGATGACGAACTTTGTAGTCACTTATAAGTTTCTGTATTATATTATGAGCCATCGCTAAAGGATGACGGATTTCGATGAATTCTGGATACTTAAATCTCTAACCCGTAACCCTCTAGTACAAATAGAATATGGAAACCGATATGTAGCAGCTTAATTTCAGAGATGACTATCTTCATCAGTAAGTATTTCTGTTCCTGACATCATTCTCACCACAATATAAACAGACGGAAATTATGTCAGAAGTGATATTATTGTATATTCCTTCAGTTCGCTGTACTCTTTATTGGCAAGCCAATTGGAAATCAACAAATGATAAGATTTGTAAAAGGATTCCGAACAGTTACGACATAAAAACACAAAATCAAAAATAATAAATCTATATTTGTACTGGGTGATTGAAGGTGAGATGAAAATCTGGACTGCGGCCGGATTCGAACCAGCGACCACCAGGTTACGGCCTGGTGCTCTACCAACTGAACTACGAATTTTATTTCACTTTAATCACCACCCGGTACAAATACTAGTCTGCCAAACTAAGGCTATCTTAGATAGTCAAGTCAAAATCTATATTTCTCATTAATATACAGATTGAATGCATATGTATCACTCCAAATGAACTGTATCCAGATTATCTACAGTTAACAATCAACTCTGTGTGCTTACTAAGGTGATACAGTTCGAAAGTTTATAGATCAGATCCATGACTCATATGATCATCCACAGACTTTGTGATTGTGTCATGTTTTAGTTTGATAACCTGAGAATTTATTTTATCTGATTCTCATTCAGTCTAATGTAACACTATGTCGTAGGTTGTAGCTAGACATGCGTAATACGTATTGCATGTATTTCAGCTGGCGAAGCTCTAGCGGTTGATTGATTGATCTGCCTTATGGTTAACTTAAGTGATACTGTTATGATCACACGGTAGTTACCAATCAGCTGCAAAAATATCTTTTATTTAAAAAGACTGTATCTGTTAGATGTATACTAGGAGGAATTCCACTGGTATTTATGATACGTACCTTTTAATTGGCATGGATTGTCAAACTGCCGAAGAAGGGCGAACTAAGCATTGCAAGAACTGGCACGCAATCACGCTGCTGTCCACCTCAAGCAAAATACTAAGCCGCATCAACCTGGAGAGAATAAAGTGTGCACTGGATCCCAAACTACGACCCGAACAAGCTGGATTCAGGAAGTACAAGTCATATGCGGACCAAATTGCAACGCCACTCTACGCCTCATCATAAAACAGAGCATAGAATGGCAGTCAACCGCATCTTTACCTCAACTCCATCGACTTTGAAATAACCTTCGACAGAGTCGACTGGCAAGTAATTTGGCAGGCAGCCACTTCAACACTTCGGTTTTACTGACACAAACCCCTATCGATCTCACTGAACAACTATATGAAGGTGCCACATGCCAAGTAATTCACAATGGGAAGCCCAGTGATGCTTTTGAGGTGAAGACAAGAGTGAAACAAGGTTGCCTACTATCCCCCATGATATTTCGGATTGTGGTGGACTGGATCATGCAGCAAAGAGCTGTGAAGAGCTGTGAGAAGAGGGGGATACACTGGACTGCGGAAAAGAACATAGAAGACTTGGATTTCGCCAACGATGACTTGTGTCTAATGTCTTGTGGCACGAACTCGATGATCTATAGGCGAAAACTAACAAGTTGACAGAAGAGGCAGGGTAGCGAAGACAGCACTTCCTTCAAGTGAACATAGAGAAGACAGAGGTGATGAAGATACCCAACCAACGCCACCAACAACAAGAACAACAACAATCTCCAATCACCATCAATGGGAGAAACTCCAAGGAAGTGGCCTCCTTCACCTATCTAAGCAGCACTGTGGCAACTACAGGTGGCGGCACAGACGAGGACGTCAAAGGCAGGACTGGAAAGACAGCATGACACGCGTTCATTAACCTGAAACCAGTGTGGAGATCTTCTGCACTGCACTCAGCATGTGGAACAAGACCTGGATTTTCAACACCAATACCAGTCAAGTCAGTGCTCCTGTATGGTTCAGAGACTTGGCGTGTTACCAACAGCATTTCCAACAAACTACAGATATTCATCAACAACTGCCTATGCTCGATACTGACACTGAAGCTCAGATGGCCGGAAAGAATAAGCAACAAGGAACTCTAGCCTGCCAACGAACTAACCAAGAAGCTATCGCTCAACCAATATATGCAGAAGTAAGTGGAGATGGATTGGGCATGCACTGAGAAGACCATTCGGGGACATCACGCACCTGATCAGGCACTCGAGTGGAATTCAGATGGGAAACAACGAGTTGGGTGTCATAGGCGAGGGTGACATGGAGGAGATGGTGAGAGGAAGAAATGAGAGCTTGTGGACTGTCGTGGAGCCAGGTTCAAAAGGTTGCAGAGAACAGAGTGGAATGGAGACGTGCTACTGAAGCCCTATATTCCACTAGGAGGCCAAGGATGAATAATAATATTAATGTTTGGCATCGAGGTATGTTGGCTGCATGGCTAATAAAGTCGAGTATATTATAGGACCTTTTGAATGATCATTGTGTTAAGGTTAACTGGAGGAATGGTTTATTTGTTTAGGTACTTAATTTTCAGCTTTCAGGTAATAGGTGCAGAGGGCGCTATATGTATTCAGGTATAAATTTGGTAAATTTATACCATTGGCTCTCACACCGAATGCGTTTTTTTCATGCTACTTCGGGTTGTTAAAAGAATGCTTGTTTGAGTTAACTTCGAACGTGTTGAAAATTTGGACATTAAATTTCATTGGTCTTTTTATTGAACTAATTTTAAAAAATTGTTTCTGTGCAGAATAAGATTTCAGTGTTATTTTAGAATTCATTAACTCAACTTATGCTGTACTACATTTTTAGATTAAAGTGAACTTTGCTCACATCTAGATGATAGCATTCAGGTCGGAAATACTGACTGCCTGACTGTAATTGGTTCAACGGCTCACAGGTCATACAAAGCTATGCCCCAAGTCCTATGAAGCATGAAAACTCATGAAATGATACTTTTAGCCATATAATTAACGAATTTGTGTTAGATGTTTGGAAGTAGTCATCTAGAAATGCTGAACTTACCTTTCTTAAACTTCAGGAGACATTACTCATAGCTGAATTAAAAGTTTTAAGTGATGAGCTATTTAGGTCACTGATAGGTGATTAAAGCGCTCGCTTAATCTTATCTTGTGGTGTGAATTTTAGTTAAGGACATATTCAAAGTCTGTCTAAATACTGAATTTCGGACTCACTGACTGCTTAGTGAACTATTTAAGTTTTTAACCTTTCAATCCTAAACGTCTCCTATTATTAACCTCAAAACATTTTCTATGTCTTGTTAGTGTTATAGCCTCTAAGCTGAATGTTTTAATACTGAAGCTTACGTTGTCCTTTTAGACAGTCATTTAAAATTACTTACATCTCATAAATATTTACATATTGTTACGAGTGTTTGTATTATATATAATAAATCATTCATTCAATCTTTAAAAAGCGTATCATTTAAGTCCGACTTGATGTAATCAAATTATTCATAGCTCTGATCTGTACAGTATATTCTCCATACTAATGATAATTTAACTTCCACTTTGCTGTTCATTCTATTTTGTAAAAATAACAATGTCAGCAGTTTACCGATATATGCTTCGATTGTGGCAAACGGATATACCCTGTAGATCGTATATCAACCGGTGAACGAGTTTATCACAAGGCATGCTTTCGTTGCGCAACCTGTCAAAGAACTCTACTGTAAGTATACTTCTTTCTTCGTTATATTGTGAATTCGTTAACTGCTTAGAATTTCTTTACTTCAGTGTTTTATTTTTAAATGTAGAACGTTTTTCATTTGTATTAGTTTTTGTTTTAGTATCCTCTAGTGGTTCATCCAAATAAGAAGAAAAGTATATTTTGATTAATGATACTTGTGACAGATTCGTCTAAGAACGAGTTTCAAATGAACCGGTATTCACTAGGCAAATAACGAAACGGCGACTATAGTATCAATAACAAAAAGTTTAAGAAAGATGGCTTTTTCCAATGTACTCGTTCTCAAGATATATATATGGGAAGAGACGTGCATCCAGGACTCCACTGCTAATCACTTTTGATCCAGGACTCTCCTCAGGAGTTCATGTGTCAACTACAGCTAATCATTTCGGTGCCGACTAGTCGACAACGGAACTCAACAAGTCATCACACTAAAATTTACTTACTGCACAAGTAGTGGTTATTGTGACTCAATAGCCTACTTGATGACACTCTGATATTCAAAGCAGTGGGTGCTGGATCCCGTTCTCAGTAAGAACGACAACACTTACTTGGATATAGGTACATCTAGGTGATGACTGTGGAATAAGACAAAATGTACATCACAGATATTAAGCAAATGATATAATGGTGAAAATTCAGAAAAAATTTAGGCACTTTCAGAGCTCTAATATCGACATGGACTAATCGATTTGATTCATTGTAATGATCAGCGGGAAACTACAATGACAAAATGTTAGGCGAAATCGGATAAAATACTTTACTTTAGGTCGTATCTTTTAGGCATGTTGAGTGAAATAACGCAGCAAACTATAAACAGTGAAAATAATAGCCACAACAATGATATGAAAAGTTTGAAGACTAATATGCAATAAAGGATGGAAACCGAGAAAGAGCAAAATGATTTAATGATTATGATAAAGAAGAAGACTATACGCGCATACATCTTCCACAGATTAGGGTCTGTTTCAGTTGGATGAATGACCATAGCGCTTGCTTCTTTGGGAAATTGAAGACACCGATAACCCAAGAAATCTGGAAGAGCTTGTTAAACAACTTTTAAATCACTGTTTGGATCATTTCACTGGTCAAATTCTTCAAAATAACTTTTAACAGTTTTAGTTTCATTAGTAATAACCATTTTGGACTCAGCCAGTCAGCTAGTAACCATCAACATGAAACTTGGAAATAGTGTGCAGCGTTTTAATTTGTTACACATCACGCCAGCACATAAGATGTAGAGTAGCAAAGTGAAAAACAAATAAGTAGTAGAATCACTAGCATATGGTTCTTCTGTCCTAGATTCATCAGGTTAAAGTATAATGTACAAGCAGGAGTCGATAAATATGATCCAAGAAGCAACTTATCTTCGTAACTTGTTAGGGGGAGAGGGCTTGTGTTCTGACATCTACCTCAATAGCTACTTGGTTTGACTGTCAAAGGGAACATCATCGGCCATTGGGATTTAGATATCCTTAACTAATGAGCTTCTAGTAGGACAGAAGGTGTTCTGTGAATCCCATTACTGTTTACCACTGAACATAAAATGTCAATGATGCGATGACCCTATTATGTCCAATGTACATCTCACATAGACCAATGAAAGCATGAATAACTACCTTTTAATGAATAGTAATAGTAACAGTTGCGTTATTCAGTGTTTAAATATAATCTGAGGTACTGATCTTAAAAGATTTGTTCTCATGCAAGCATTGAGTACACCCAGTATTTTGTTATGATTATCATTACTGAAGACTACCTGTTTATTGTAACCATAGCATTAATAATTTATTCAATGAAAATTATAATTTCCAAAAGGTAGCATTCTAGCTTGTTAATATTTTCGTGCTCTTTTTTAAATGAATAAACACAATGGAGATTAAAAAAGAGATTGGTTTCATTCCATAAAGTAGGCATGTTATAAGTCATGATAAAAAGAGTTCAGGCCAATATTCATTTCCAACTCAAGTTGGTATTTGTAATTGTCTGATGTCATTTGGGGAACCATTGAAAACCTGGAAGCACTGAACAACTGTTTTGTTCTAGTACTGGATTCCTCAACTGGGCTCACCCACGACCCCTCTAGGAGTAGAATCCAGGACTTACAGGTTCCACGGATAGCACATTACCCATGGTTTGTTGTTTGTCTATTCCCCTCTTGAATAAACCAACAGACCCCGCTTTTGCTAACCGTAGGCTCGAAAAACTGACCTGTCAGTTAGAAAAGCAGTACTTCACAAAGACATGCTTCAACTTATGCTTCTTAACCCTATTGATGCGTGCTTCACGGTGTTTTCACTCCTTGAAAATAAGTTAATCCCTCATGTGTTAGTCAGTGAATAGAATTCTGAATATCAGAATCAATTCTCTCCAGAGCCTACGAAGTGGAAGGTGGAAGATATTTAGTTTTATCTGGCATTCTTCAAGGATTAAAATTGTCACCATGGAGATCATTTGTGGAACTTTTTTCTGAACTCTTCTAAGTAGGTTTGCGTCAGACAAGATCTTTTTGCTTCTCCTCAGTTATCTACATTAGATAGAACCTAGAGTGTATGTGGGGTGCTTTACATGTCATTTTAAAATGTGGTGAATATTTGACCTGTTAATCAAAGATATCTGAAACTTTGAATTTATCATAAGTGGACCCAAGGTATTCAAGACAGTATTAACTACAACTCACAGGTTACTGCAGAGGAATGTCTTATGCATTACTAAATATATGTTTTAAGTGTACGATAATATTGAGGTCTAAGTTCAGTCAACAGTCTTTTGCACATTCGTGCAGTGAATAGTGAGGTACATCTGTTGTGTGAGCCACAACTGTTGACAGACAACAGTTTCTCTTAGCAGGCTGAAAACCTATTGTCTCTCTGAAGTGAACGTATACAAATTAAGATCTTATGAGTGAGATCGATAACCACTTGACAGACTTCGTCTTCTTTTAATTAACTTGTTGTCGCTAAATAGCATCAAGTGATGAATCTTGTAATCCATTATGGACCTCTTAGGTACCTATAAAAGTATTGAATTAACTTCATAGTTAATTGCTTTTGTCCCATTCGGGATTAATTAGAGAAATATTCGCGCAAACACACAACAGAACTATTTCTTATAGGGTGTCACCTAAAGCTGTTATTTCACTCAGTGAGGTTACTAATCAACAACTAAGCCGGACGTCTCTGGTAATGTGCAGACGTTGAGCAGATAGATGCCTAGTGCATTGAAAGAAACTGTGGAAAAACACGCTTACATTTTTTATAGTTGAGTAGTCATAGTTTGAGTTTGATCATAGAGTCCTACAGCAACCCAGGTTTTCATTTCACTATCAGTCACCCCTGTGTTATAATAATATCAGTCTTCTGAATTACAGCTGCCTCAGATAGTCTCATTTACAGTCAAAAGATAACGTGATATCTGGACGAAAAAGAAGTCAACTTATCAAAGGGATATATGACAAACATGTGATAACACTTGACATTTTATGGAGCATATTATCTTTTAGCAGCAAGTGCCACCTTTTCTTTCTACACAAAGGCGGATTCTGTATTTACCTGCAGAAGTCCTGCACTCAAATAAACCATTTTGGTTTCAGTATTGGACTGTCTTTAAAAGAGGCAACTGCACCAGTTTTCTCCAGAGCGACTCGAATGTTATGTGAATTGATGTAGTCATTAGGTGTTGTAAAATTACTCTTTTCAGTGATCACCCCTGTAAACAACTTTACTGATCTGAAATTATTCAAAGATGGAAAGATTTACACCTTCAGTTGAAATTCTTTTTCTCTTATCTTTGACCCTTATGGCAGATACTAGCAAAGAGCATTTGCGACTCTAAAGGTATTCACCGTTCATCAAGAAATCGGATTGCACAATTGTTAGCCAGAACTGGACACACTGTTACGTCTTTCAGACGTATGAAACCCTAACAAGCCGGAACAGAGTTTACACCAGAAAACAACCATACTGGTGAGCATTATGGAACTGTGTAAGAGCACACGGAAATTTTACTGCTGGTACCTTGAGGTGCGGAAAGAATAAAAAGCAAAACAGATTTTCTTTTCTTTGTCTCGGACTAAGGAACTGATGCACTTGTTTCATCGTTACCAATGTTTGAATACTTAAGGTTTTCTTATTTATGCATTTCTGATATTCATAGTATATGTATGACACAGTTAAAATCAAATTTTGTTTATCGATACTGATCGTTGGTCTCCTCATTCGCATTCCCTAAACTCTCCGTGATGCAACTATCTTCCTTAATTTATTTTGATTCATCGTTTATCCACTATCTCATTCTACTGCATTATAATAAGTCCAACAGAAAATAGGTACCAAATCACAAAAAATTGACTTCAGAAGTGTGTGTATCAACCTGGCTTATTTTCAACTGTTAAGTAAATTAAATTTATCTATTCAAACTCTGTCAAACGTTGCAGGATTTCAAGGAGGTTTTGAGATCACATTGTATTCTTGTCAGTTGTTTTTTTTCTTCTGTAAAATGCATTATTGAAACGTGTGAGCAAAATGAGTTTTACCTACAAGCTACAATATGTGCAATCATGATTTGCATATCTGCTTATGATCATGAAGTGTGGGTGGTCATATTCAGATGAAATATTTATAGATTCCTCTTATAAAAGTGACTAGAGATAATTCGATTTTTTGATTGTCAGCTTCTACAGGCATTGCTAAATCTGTTTCGAAAAGATGCGGTTACAGAATGTAACTTTTTAATATTTGAATTTTACACTTTTTTTCTTGTGACAAATATACTACTGGCTGACATCAGTAGTTGTAGACCACTCACTGATTGGTTGCGCCCATTAACCATACTCTTAATATAGATACCAGTCTTAGTGTTGAGCAAGTTACACTATGTGATCTGAATATTTTGATTTTCATAGGGAAGCGCGATGAAATTTTTCACCATGGCCTTTAAAGTTTTCAAACATATAGTTTATTTTTAAAATGTTTCTTACTATT